GCGCCGAGGTCTCGGGCTGCTCTGGGAAGCCGCTGCGGGGCACTCCCGGGGCAGACGGCTGGGAAGGAAGCTCCGGAAGAAGCGCAGAACCGCTAGGCTAGGAGTCCCCGCGCCCCTCCGTGGACTCTGAGGCCGCCACCCGCAGCATCTCCCACCGCGACTGCAGCTGCGCTCGCAGGCTCATCAAGGCCTGGCGGTCCTCCAGAGACGCCGCCAAGAAAGGGCCCAGGCTGGGTGGCGCCTCTCCATACAGCGCCCGGACAAGGACCTGCGCAAGTTCAGGTGCAGATTTCTGGGACAGAGAGGAGGCGAGGCGGGGACAGTGATTACCTGGTTTTTTTCAGCACCCACACACAGCCTTCCACCCTTCCAGGCTCACCTCCTCAAGGAGGGCCAGGACTCGGCCCCCCGCTGGCCCCCGGAGCACTGCAGCCAGGAGAGCAGCCTGGGGCTCCTGGAGGCCATGGTCAGGCCCCAGCGCCACCAGCACCAGGTCAGGCTGGAAGCCATAAGCCATGGGCAGCACCAAGCCAAAGATGCAGCTCTGGAACCCTCCAGTCGTCTGTGGAGACAGCAGTAGAGCCCAACCCCCTCGCCTAGGGGACACTTTCCTGCTGGCTTCTGCCACCCCACTTCCCAACCTCAGAATCCCTGGAGTCTTGAGGGGCCAGGGCCTGCGGGTGCTCCTGACCATTGCAGGGAGTACCTGCCCCGCCAACACAGTCACTCACCTCTGGCAGTGGCATGGAAACATGGAACATGGACACTGTGGCTGCTTCCTTGCCCCGGATGTTAAGCCACAGAATTCTCCTTCCAGGGAGAAACCAGGGACATGTGCAAATATGTTTGAGCATGGACAGGAGAGAAGAACTCAAGGCCACCAGTAGAAAAGTAGAAAGACCCTCTGGCCCCCTCCCAAACACCAAATGAGGAAGGTAGAATTCTGTACTAACAGTGCCCCACCCACAGGGGCCTGCAGTCAAAACACTGTCACGAGACTCTCCACCTGCACAGTGAGAGATATGTGACCTAAGAGTAATACCCATCATCAGCAAGGTCCAGTGGCCGATCCAGATGTCCCAACACCACACAGAGAACCCTGAAGAAGAGTCAACCAAGGCCAGGCTGTGCTCCACACTGCCCAGAGTCTATTCCCAGGACCCAATCCATGTGGCATTCAGGGAAGGGGCACCCATGGGCCAGCTGAGACTCACCTCTGGGCTCCAAGAGACAGAACTCGCTGAATGGCCACATCCAAGTTGGCTGCTGCAGCAGGTGCTGAAGTGGCTGCCATTCCACTGTTTACCTGTGGGGTGAGGTAACAGCCAACTCTCAAATGAGATAAACATCCATTCACTGAGCTACATTCCCGCCCCTTTTATTTTGAGGTGGGGGGGGTATCACTAAATTGACCCAGCTAACCTCAAACTTGTGAACCCAATTCACGCTTCCAGAGTGCTGGGATTATAAGCATGAGCCACCACGCCCAATTTATTCCCACCTTCACTTTCAGTTTTGGTTTTTGTTTTTTTTTTTTGAGACAGGGTCTCACTATGTATTGAGACTGACCTGGAACTTGCTTTGTAGCCCAGGCTGGTCTCCAACTCAGTGATCCTCCTGCCTCAGCCTCCCAAGTGTGGGGATTACAGGAGTGAGCCACCAAGCCCGGCTAAAAATTGTTTGTTTTTTTGTTACTTTGTTTTTGGTACCGGGGATTGAACTCAGGTCCTTGTGCTTTCAAGGCAGGTGGCAGAAACACTGAGCTAAATCCCTGGCCCTCCACCTTCACTTTCAAACCCTGACTACATACATTACTGTTAGACCTGTTACACTGTGAGGTCAAGAGAGGTTTACATTCTACGTCTGTAAACAAGATGCTTAAAACCAAAGATGAGTTTAACCACTTTCCCTCTTTCTCAAAGAGCAATTCCCTGGGCTGCTCTGAGATCAATCCCTGCCCAAGGTACCCATGTCCCTGTGGTCTGCAAACACAGCCCTCCTGGGTCCACAACCACCCCAGCCCCTGCCCAGCAATCCTACCTGCCCATCCAGAATCCCATTTAAGAGGTATAGGAGCTTCCCAAGTGCCTCATCCTGGGCTAGGGATTCATGTGGCCTATGATGGGCAGACCAGACACCAGGTGACAGCACATCAGTCACAGATACAGACACACACGTGATCATGACACTCTCCCCAGCCTGTCCTGCCCACCTGGCCCAGGCTTCTGTCTCCCACTTTGGGGATGACCCCTCCTGACGAAGCACATGAGGGGATAGAGCCAGGGTAGTGTCTGCAGCAGTCAGGGTAATAGCCATTCGAACAGGGGGTGTGGGGTGGAGATGCTGCTGATCCAGGAGGAAGCTCAACGAGGCCACCTCTGCCTCTGCCTTACAGATAGGATCTCCAGGCAGTGGCGACAGGGGCTTCCCCTCTGTGGAGTGGGTGCTGGTACTTAGCACAGGGGCCACATCTAGGGGAGAGTCAGAGTCAAGATCACTGTATAAGACCCTGAGGTGGAAGCCACCAGCCTAGGCCTAGGCTGTGCTGACCTTGCTGTCGGAGGCTCTTCCAGTGAGGGGCCTGGGCTGCCCGGACATTCTGGATGGACTCCAGGGCACTGTGGGGAGAAGCAGAATGGAGACTGGAGCCTGCCTCCTACTCCAGGCCTTCCCAACCTGCGCCATTCTCACCTGTGACATGGCACCATGGGCCCCGACAGGACAGGCACAGGGTCACCCAGCAGTGCCCGCACCGTCATGCACACCGACTGTGCCAGGGACTCCAAGTGGTAGCCACCCTGGGAGGAGAGTGGAGATGGGAAGGGGAGGAGTGTCCCTGGGGTGGGCTTACTACCCTGGGAAGGGCACCCCACCCCTCTGGCCCAGGCACCCTCCAGCTGCCCCCTGCAGTCACCTCCAGCACTGCACAGATACGGCCACCAGCCAGCACCTGCAGCAGCTGTGTGAGGTGGCCAAAACACTCTGGTGTGGCCTGCATCTGTCCCTGGAACCAGAGCCATGTGTGAGGGGGGGCCTGGGCTCTGAACACCAGAGGCCCCCCCAGCCAGGCCAGGCCCTTACCTCTGGGTCCCCAATGGCTGAGTCAAATCCTGCTGAGATCAGCACCAGCTCAGGGTCAAACTATGGGTGGGGAGGCAAGAAAGAGGCTGGAGCCTGGGTAACAGGAGGGCCGCATTCTCAGGCTAACCCCCTCCTGAGACTCCAGCCCTCAGAGCTGTGCCATGCAATGACAGGCTCACAGCCTTCCTCCTTCCTTCACGGAACTCTGGGCAGGCATGAGGTACCCTGCTCTGGGGGACATCCAGCACACAGTCACCTCAGAGGCCAGCGGGAGCAGCACATGCAGGAAGGCAGCCAGATAGTCAGCGTTGCCCATTCCAACCTGCAGCATGGTGGAGGGAAGGCATCAGCAGGCAGCCCTGCATGTTGGGTCTTTACCCTCAGGGACTCAGGCACTGGGGGGATCTACTGGGATGCACCAGCCTAGATTCTGGAGGCCTGGAGCTAGGGGGCACAAGAGGTACAGCCAAACAGGTGGACTGGGTGGAGGGTCCCAGGTCGAGGGTGGGCACCTGATTCCAGGGCAAGTTGACAGTGAAGCCACGGCCCTGTCCCTGCCCAACAGTGTCTGCGTCTGACTCTGGCAGGAAGGGCCAGAAATGTCCATGCTCATAGCGATGCCAGGAGAAGTAAAGGACACTGTTGAAAGCCAGCCAGGCCACTGGTCAGAACCCTTGGCCTTGTAAATAACCCTGACCCCTCAGCCCATGGCTGACTCCCCCTTCCGATTTTTCTAGGTCACACTGTGCACCCCCAAGAAGGATTGCAGGGAAGGGTCATGTCCCCAAACTCAGCTCACCTGGGGTCATCCTCGAAGATATACTGGATACCCTGGCCATGATGGATATCCCAGTCAACAATGAGAATCCTAGGTTCAAACGGCACTAGGGGTCATGGAAAGGTGGGCCTTCTCACCTCCAGGCCACAACCCAGCCAGGATAGGAAGGGGCTGAGTGGGTCTAAGGCACCTGCTCCACCACTACCTGGCAGGCCCAGGGCCCCCCATCTTTGCAGCCAGCCTGGCACACACCTGTGCAACCCATGTTTCCGCTTGGCATGTTCGGCTGCTATAGCCACATTGTTAAACACACAAAATCCATTGGCAGCTGCCCTCTGGCTGTGGTGCCCAGGAGGCCTGAGGGTGAGAGTGGGGTATGGGGCAGAGCAAGGTCATCCTGTCCCCTCACAGGGCCACTCACGGGAGGCAGCCAGGTGAGGGGGGTCAAGCGCACCTCACCAGGGCAAGCCCATTGTGCACGGCTCCAGTCAGCACAGCATCCACCAGCTGCAGCACAGCACCCACGGCCAGGCGGCCACAGTGAAAGGTGCTCTGTGGGACAGAGGGTGCAGATTAGCCACTGCCTGCCCTCCTTGTGCCAGGTCACCAACTGCCAAGCACAACAGGTTAGGCTGGCCCTGGGGTTCTGGCAGTAGCAGCAAGCTGAGCTTGCAGGGCACAGACAGGTTGTCAGCAACGAGGTGACACAGGCACATGGGTCCCTATCTGGATGGATGAGCATGCACAGGAGTACCCCAGCGACACACCGGGTGGAAGTAGACCGCATCGTACTGTCTAGAAAGTGCCTGGAGCTCCTCTGTCCCCAGAGTCTGGGTCCCCCGAACCAGGGCCACGTATTCTGGGCTGGAGAAAGGCAAGCAGGCAGGCAGGTCGTCAATAGGCACAAGGGGCAGAGGACGGGTTGGGGTTCCCAGTACCAGCGCCCACCACTGCTCCCTCTAGCGCAGAGCCCAGGCTCCTCCCAGTGGTGAAAGGGACACATGGGAAGGGCTGCTTCGGTGCTCATAGGTTCCTCTGACCTGTGCACCAAGCCCAGCTCTGCCTCCGAGGCCTCTCGGGCTGTCACGTGCAGACACCTCTGCTCCAGGCCACACTGCCGGAGGCTGCCCAGAGCTGCTGCCAGGCGCTCAGGACACTCGATCTTGCACTCCGAGCTGGGGCAGACAGAACACTCAGTGTCCAATATCTCCTCCTAGGCCCTACCCCGACTAGGTCACACTTACTCGTCCCACAGCAACCGAGTGGCCATCATGTCCTCGTGATACACGAGAGCAGTCCCCATAGCTAGACGGTGGTCACTGCGCTACTGTCCTCTGGAATGGCACGCCCTCCTCTGGCAAATGAATACACTGTCTGTCCCCGCCCCCCTTACAGCCCGGGGACAGCTCAAAGCCTGGGATCTGGCTGGGACGGAGCTCGGAAACGGTGCCAGCAAACAGTCCCAGGGTTCCCTGGGATCCCCGGGGTAGCTTCCTGTCTGCACTCAGGTCCGGCCCAGAGTCCCCACCCCCCAGCGCCGCCCCGCCCCAGTCCCCACCCCCCCT